CAAAAAGGCGTCAGACATCGATTTCCGGTCCATACACGTCACCCTGATTCCAAAAATACCCATATTGTGGGGTATTTGATAATATTTTCAAAAACCTCTTTTTACGAAGTAAATCCCAAATAACGAGTTTTCTTTTTACGAAGTAAATCCCAAATAACGAGTTTTCTTTTTACGAAGTAAATCCCAAATAACGAGGTTTTTTTTTACGCACTAATTCGATTTACGAACCCCCGTTTTGGTTCGTAAATGGAGGTTCCAGTGTACAGCCAAAAATTGGCTTATATAGCTAATATTTGCCTGTATAAGCTAGTCTGCACCTAAAATAGTTTGTTGGGTAACTACTATACAGACAAAAATTGGCTTATATAGCTAATATTTGCCTGTATAAGCTAGTCTGCAGCTAAAATAGTTTGTTGGGTAACTACTTCCATTTTGAACGTGTAGAAATCCCGATTTGTCCTGTAATTGGCCAACCGAAAAATTGCTTAAGATTGCATGCAAATTAGAAAAATCGTGGATGTCTAGGTCTACTTGCATGAATTTGTAACCAGTGGTGTGTCTATCGGTCTAAGATTGTTGAGATTGTCGCGAATTTAGTGTTTCGATTTAAATGTTATGAATGCCAGGAAAGGATTCAAATATTAGTGCCAACACCGCCCACCGCCCTCTGGACAGCACGCAACCACTCTACGAAGTTCCGCTACTCACAGCCAGATGCCGCTGACAGCAGGATTGGGAGGCCATCGGGAGGTGGTGTAAAGGGGGCCATGATGGGGCGAAATTGGGCTGAAGGAAAATGGATCAACGATCGAGAGCGCAAGGAAATCACCCGCCATCGTTGCTAGCCAATTGCCTGGCAAAAGTCAAAAGTGGTAGTCGAAAACCAAGCTAGACAAACCCAAAACGAATGTGATATACATCATAGTGAAAGATCGTTATTCGAAATAAAGTTATTAGTCTGCACGAGTCTTGAGGCGTGAAACTCGATCAGTAGTGGAGGAGGAGCCAACCTACTGAAATATCCTAATGTGCCCACAGGACCCCGTAGTTTACCGTTAACATTTATCTACGGCGCGGTGAGACCCCGTAGTGTTCGTTGTGTTCGACCTACTGCGGTCAAACTCCAAGCTATCGTGTGAATACAACCGTATTCCGATCCATCCTACCGCGTTTACTAGCCCGTGTTCATCGCCCTTGTGGATCTGCCTTGAGCGTCGTGGACACGTTATACCGTTCGCGAACGGCTCGGCAAACGGTACCGTGGGAGCACCCGTAGGAGGAGAGGCGAGTGAAGTGTTAAGAGGTGAATGGACTGGGCAACCCACAGTCGAAACCGAGGGACGAAGACCAGAAGCAAAGGAAAGGAGAAAGTGAAGGTGAAGGTGTAGCGGAACGGAGGAGAAGGGGGCCCCCATCGACAACGGAAGATGAAGGAGGAAGTAGTGAAGGCTAAGGTAGGAGATAGCCGATAAGAAAGTGGGAAAGTTAGGGAAATAAACGAGACCTGTGTGAAAGTTCATCGGGGTGTGTTAAGAGTATTTGAGTGCTTCCTTGGCCGCGATAGTCACACGTGTATGCCGACCCTGAGGCAGTGTAGAGGGGGGTCTCATTAGTGCTGGGCAGGGAGTACCCCAACTGTTAAAAATTGACCATTTTTCCGCTGATTCCGAACATCCAGAGGACCATTTTCTGGTCACTCGGTAGCAGAATCGATATGGAGATGACATATTTCCTCTATCCGCGGATCTCTAGGTCTACTTCCAGGTATTGACCATTTTCCGATGAATCTGGATTTCCACAGAGCCAACCACAGGTCCAATCGGTTCCCTGTCTGTTTCAAAATTGTGGCTCAATCTTTAAATTTGGTAACCAAACTGCCGAGAACCGGTCACGTCAACATGAATTGACACGCATTTTGCTAGGAACTTTTTTGGGTTTTTTTCCGTTCCGGCTGGCCAACCACAGGTCCAATCGGGTTTCTATTTAATCAAAAAAAAAGTAGATAGCCATACTTTTTGAATGGTGGCTGAATTATAACGATTGATCTTTGTATTGCCAACAACCAGCCATGTATACCTGCATCAACACGCTGTTTGCAGCCTTGGGGTTTTGTCAGTTTAAATAGCAATCGAAAAATTCAGACATTTCATGTTATCTTCAGTTTATGGTTGTCCAAATATAACTCAGTTTTTTCAACAATTATGCTTGCTTCAAAAAATCAAAATAGACGTATGGATTCAGGAAGGTCTATTCAACGAAATCCAAGTGTAATATTCAAAGGAAGGAGCCAAAATCCATCTTGGCTGAACATAAAAACCAAATTTTAACAAAAATACCTAGTTTTGTCAATTTAAAGCTGGCTTTGTGTGTGCTTAAAAATCATCACATATGAATTCAGCAAGGTCAATTCTATCAAATCTAAGCATAACTTTCAAAGGATAGTATCACAATCCATGTTAGAAGAAAGGGAAAACCAAATTTCGAAAAAAAAAAATACTTTTCGAATTACAAACCCGGTTTAACCTTCACTTATGGATTCAGCAAGGTCCATTCTATAAAATAAAAGCCTATTTTTCAAAGATATGACCCAAAACCGGAATATGGCAGAACCGAAAAACCAAATTTCTATGAAAATACGTATGGATTCAGCAATTCTGTAAAATCCACGCCTATTTTTCAAAGGAAGGAGCCGAAATTCAACTTGGCTGAACAAGAAACCCAAATTTCTATAAAAATTAGTACTTTTGAGAATTCAAACCCAGTTTTTTTAAAAAAATAGTGCATGCTTCAAAAAATGTATCATCACGTATGGATTCAGCAAGATCCATTCTATAAAATCCAAGTCTATTTTCAAAGATCGGAGCTGAAATTCAACTTGGCAGAACAGAAAATCAAAGTTTTTATGAAAATACGTACTTTTGTGAATTTAAACTCGATATTCTCAAAAATTTAAGAAATTCAACCCTCACGTATGGTTTCAGCAACTTCTATTCTATAAAATAAAAGTCTATTTTTCAACGATAGGAGCCAAAACTCAGTTCGACAAAACATAAAAATCATTTTTTTTTATGAAAATACCTTCTTTTGTGAATATTAACCAGGTTCGTTCTTCCGGTATTCAGCAACTTCCATTCAATAAAATCCAAGCACAAATTTCAAACGATTGAACCGAAATCCAACCTGGCTTCAAACAAATCTACCATCACGAATGAACTCACAAAGGTCTATTCTATAATATCCAAGCCTGTTTTTCAAAGGACAGAGCCAAAATCTATCTTGGCTGATCAAGAAACCCAAATTTCTATAAAAATAGTACTTTTGTGGATGTAAACCCAGTATTCTCAACAATTGTGCTTGCTTAAAAAATCTAGTATCCGGTATGAACACACGAAGGTCCATTCTTCCATTTCTCAGCCTAATTTTCAAAGGATGTGAATCTCACAAAAACGAGTAAGAGGTCTAAAGGAGCGGAATCTACGCTAACAGTTAGTTAAATCACTTCAGGACAGTTCAGACTAACATTAAATAAAATTCAATCACTCAAGATTAGGAATGAGTTCGATAAAATCCGTTTTCAACAATTGAAACCGGCTGATTCGATTTCAAGGACCTGGCATGCCGTACCGGTCTAGTTCAAATTAACAAACATAATAAGATCTAGCAAAGCGAGTATCCATAGCACACATGGATGAATGAACGGTTTGTTTCCCCATTAATCTGTTTCCCTCTTGCTCGCACTCGTTCGGTTTAAATGGTGCAGTATAAAGAGCCTGGATTTATAAAGAGGCGACATGTCAAAATTGGAACAATCGATTGTCATTCCAATCGAGCAGAAGACCTGTCAAATGGATAAGATGTCGCTTATTTATAAATTCAGGCTCTTTAGTGCAGTAGTGTGCGCCGATTAAACGTCAGAAAGCACTATACCCAAATGCAATAGCGATACTCGACGACGATAGCGACGGTTGACCAAAGAAAAACTTGAGATTTGTTCCGGCCTAATAGTCAAAAATAAACTCATGACAAAACTATATAAGTTTAAAGAAATCATAACGGGTATAATCATGCTAACAAATAATTATATTGTACAACTGTCTAGAAATGATACCCTGTACAATAAGGCAGTATAAAACTAGATGATAAAAGTATTATTATTTGAATGGTTTTATGAAAAAATATTCGGGAAAACGCGTTATTTGACAACCGTTATAACATGTTATTACTCTCCAGTCTGGACAGCGTTTAAACCATATTTTTGTTTTAGATGCTTAAATTTTACATTGACCATCTCAAGTTGTACATCCAAACATCATACACAAAAGTATTCTTCTGTGAAAAAAAGCAAAAAAACGAGCCCCCCCTCGAAAGTGCATCCGAAACCAAACCAATCAACGCAGCTCCCCGCCACAAAAAAAACTTCGTCGTCGTCGTCGTCATCGTCGTTAAGTGCACCATCATCGTCGTGGTTCGCGTCGCTTAGCGCCTACCAACCACCAACCTAAGTCAGTTGGCAGCAGCTCTCCGGTGCATTCCTGCTCTTCCATCTCCTACTCATTCGGTGACTCGCGAGTGTTACGACTTCGCGAGCGAGAGTGTACCCATCGCCCTTAGCTCCCCAGAAGATAATATTTGGAGCAATTTGTTTTGATTTATTCTCTCAAATAAATCACGCACCGGCACCTCCACAACAACCGTGCACGGCTCCAAAAAAGCTCCATCCATGCATGCGACGAGTGCGAAAGAGTTTTGAAACTCTGAGAGACGATAGAGAGAGAGAGAGAGAGAGAGAATGAAATGCAACCGCACTTTCGTTCGGTTTGGATGGGGGCCCTTGTGGTGCCCCAGTCAGTTATCCTTTCGTGCGCTGGTCAGTGTCCAGTCATTCCGTCGGTGGCTCCGGTGGCGTTCGGCTGCAGTCGACTCTCGCAAAGCGATCCTAAGCTGAATACTTTGTCGGTGTGTGCGGTGTGTAGTTGGTGCGGGGGTGGGTCCAAGTGGGGGAGTTTGTGTTTTCCTTGTGCAACCTGCCGGCTAATTAGTGCGGTCTCGCCGCGTCCCCAAGTGCATCGAAGGGATCAGTTCAGTTGCAATGCAGATACCAATCAGTGCGGACGTGTTTCGGTGTGTCGGCCGTAGTGTGTGCGTTTGAGCACGCCGCCCGTGTTGACCACCAGCGAGGTCGGTTGCGATTGTTCCATACCTGCGGGGAGGAAAATCGACAGGTTTTGGGAAAGTTTTGCGTGCGTGAAGTTTTGACCGTTGCATTTTGGAAAGCGATTTTCTCCGATTGGGGATTGTGCACTGATGGTGGACCAAGAATAAGAAGAATCCAATGATGGTGGTAATCATGTGGCCTGGAATGGACCTTATACGAGATGCTGCGGTGGCCATGGCAGGAGGACTACAACGACCAGTAGAAGAAGGAAGCAAGGGCAACAGCAGCACGGAAATGCAATTAACGAAGAATTTGGTGCAAATAAAGTGAAAACGTGTGTCGTTCGGTTGATTTATGGGATTTGCATTTTGGGGCCGGCGACGACGACGACGACGACAGCGACTGTGAACTGTGACGACAACCAATAAGACGGCGAAGGCCGGTTTCGGCTTCGGGGAGGATTCTGTTGTGTTTCTTGCTTCACCCCTTATCTCTGTGGTGCGCGGTGTGTGGATACAAATTTGAGGTAATAAAGAGGAATTGGCAATCAAGATCGGACTAAATGCGAGCGTGTGCTGAATTCGGTGCGACGTGGATAAAGGGTATTTAGGGAAGCGAAAAGTGCACAGTATTTTGTATCATTGATGGGTGATGTTTTATCGTGGCGATAAGCGCTAAATTTAGACAAGATGAAACGCCAGTGATAATCGACGGGAGGAGAAGGAGGTGGTCAGCTGAATAATTAACAGCCATCGGTATCGGTTCTGTTTGCTGTGCCATACAATTGCGGGAAGTGAGGCAAAATGTTCAAGGTAGGCAGTAGTCGGTATATTTAAGTATTTTATTGATAAAATCAAAGTAGGTGTTCCAAAAAAAAAAAAAACATTGGCGCGTGGTCTGTTTCGATTGCTGCAATCACCATTTGTGACGCATTAGAACGCAAAGGAATGCGATAGGTTTATGCGTCATCGGGATCTTGCCGCAGAGATTGGTCATTCCTTATCATATTTAATCTGAACATGTCGTAGATTATCATCCGGGGGTGGGGTGGGTGTTTCCCCATTAAAACATTGACAGATGAGAAATTTAACAGTAGGCTAGTCGATTAACCGACCGATTGTTGCACCGGCGTATATGAGATGTCATAAGGGTTAAACAGTAGAGGAAATCGGGTGCCGACGAAATCATCCAAAATCACGGATTGATATTAATCTACTGACGAAGTCTGGTGATGCACCGACCAATCGGACTATTTGTTAGCTTTTAGGCGATGAATTTCAAGCTGAACAATACATTAGGTTCTAAGTAACATTCTGTTCGTCGACCTTCTCTTTCGTTTAAAACTTGGGTACTGAACCGTTTCTTCTCCTGTTTGTCGTATAAAATGCTAGATAATAGTTTGTTTCATCGATCTGTGTGTTCAAAATAGCTGGGAGTGTCTTAACATGGCCGTGAGGATGCAAAGAGAAAGTCGATGAAGAGAATCGGGCAATGCTACTTAGGACCTAATGCATTTCTTCTAGTCTAGCTGGATTAATTAACCAAAATCCAAAATCAAAATTAACTAAAATTATTTTTTAATTATTGCATTGCACACCCAAAAAATAGGAGAACAATTCTGTAATATTCTGTGATGGCATCTGTTAAGCATTAATAACATATAGGGGAAATGTTGGCTTCGGCAATACTTTAACCTATTATCGTCAGGGAGTAAACAAAGTCCTAGAGCACTCAAATTTGGCCAATAGTTGCTCTGAAACACAATGTATCCACATACCAAAATTGAGCTCTCAAGGACATTTTTTACCCCCCTGATGATAATAGGTTAATGTACTGCCGAAGTCAACTTTTCCCTTGAAACCCTTTGGAATTTCATTCAAAATTTGATTCTCTCGGTATTATATTCGAAATTATCTTGAAACTATCTGCAGGATTCACATGAAATTATTCGCAGAATTTTCATGGAATCATCCCCAGAAATATTTTCTTTTGGTACTGTCCTCAGAATTCAATACCCTTGAGCTTCTTCTCGGAAGTCAAGATTAATTTGTTCGTCCATTCACCAAAACGTTGTAGTTTTTCTACCAGAAATGTTTAATTCAGCTTGTTCCTCCATGCAGCAGATTGTTGCAAATCTTACACCAGAAATTTTCAATACAAACTTACCCGCAGGTAATTTTACACTGAAAATTTCAATAGACCAGAACGATGCAAATTTTCCACCGTTGCTGGTTTTTCACCAAATAAAGCTTGCACCTATTTTCAGTTTTTCATTATAAATTTTCAGTACAGCAACTTCCCTTCAATCATCAGAATGGTGCAAATTTTATACCAGAAATTTTTTTCTCTATTCAGCAGAAGGATGCAAATTTAAGACCAAAAATTTTCCATAAAGCTTGCCTATCCGTTCACCAGAACGGTGCAGATTTCCCACCAGAAATTTTCAATATGGCTTAATTTTAAATAAAGTTTGTACCTTCATTTACCAGACCAGTGCAAGTTTTCCACCAGAAATTTTCTGTTCCTTTCATTTATCACACCAGAAATTTTCAATAAAGCATGCTCCTCCATTCACCAGAACGGTGCACCAAAAATTGTAAGTCAAGTTTGTTTCACCGTGCACCTTTGTGGTGCAATTTTCAGACTATGCCTCTTCATGCGCCAGAATGGGGCAAATTTTCCATCATAAATTTTCAATGAATCTTGCATTCATCAGAACGATGCAAATTAACACCAGAAAATGAATAAACCTTGCTTCTACATTCACCACAGTGTTGCGAACTTTCCACCAGAAATTTTCAGTTAAATGTGCACCTCCAAATTTTTAGCGTGATTCAATTTTTCCACCAGTGTTATTCATTTTGATTAGTCTCTCCATGCACCACCTTGATGATAGCTGAGCCGCCTCGAATGAACTTAATTCTCCTCTACCAGGGGAACAGTTTAAAGAAACGATAATAGACGGAAGCACGGAAGCACCTTAAAGGATGATACGGTCAAAATTTGGTCAAGGGAAAACGCGTGTAAATCGGTGAAATCGTTTATTTAAAAAATCAAATTAAATTTCTTTTTCAAGTTCAATTAGTATAAAATTCAGGAAAAATATTCAGTTAGGCTTCCGCTTTTCCAAATCCGAATTGCCGGGCCTTACGGTTGACCCCTGCCATCAGATTTTGTACAGCCACCTTGTCCACCTTCTTCGCCGCAGAAAGCCAGTTTGCCTTGAACTGCTGCTCGCTCTTAGCAGTTTTTTTGGTCTTCTTTAGGTTCCGCTTGACAATAGCCCAGTATTTCTCAATTGGGCGGAGCTCTGGCGTGTTGGGAGGGTTCTTGTCCTTGGGAACCACCTGCACGTTGTTGGCGGCGTACCACTCCATGGCCTTTTTACCGTAATGGCAAGATGCCAAATCCGGCCAAAACAGTACGGAACAACCGTGTTTCTTCAGGAAAGGCAGCAGACGTTTATTCAAACACTCTTTCACGTAAATTTCTTGGTTGACAGTCCCGGAAGCTATGAAAATGCTGCTTTTCAAGCCACAGGTACAGATGGCTTGCCAAACCAGATATTTCTTTGCGAACTTTGACAGTTTCATGTGCTTGAAAACATCTGCTACCTTTCCCCTTCCTTTTGCCGTATAAAACTCCTGTCCCGGAAGCTGCTTGTAGTCGGCTTTGACGTAGGTTTCGTCGTCCATTACCACGCAGTCAAACTTCGTCAGCATCGTTGTGTACAGCCTCCGGGATCGCGCTTTGGCCGTCGTATTTTGTTTATCATCGCGATTTGGAGTCACTACCTTCTTGTAAGTCGATAGTCCGGCTCGTTTTTTGGCTCGATGCACGGTTGTAGACGATACACCCAGCTTATTTGCGGCATCTCGGAGAGAGAGGTTAGGGTTTCGCTTGAAACTACCGGCAACTCTCTTTGTCGTCTCAGCGGCTTCCGGTTTTCGATTTCCCCCCGATCCAGACTTCCTGGCTGTCGACAAACGTTCCCCAAACACTTTAATTACATTTGTAACGGTTGATTTGGCAACTTTTAGCGATTTTGCCAACTTTGCGTGCGAGTAGCTCGGATTTTCGCGATGCGCGAGCAAAATTTTGATACGCTGCTCTTCTTGCTTGGACGGCATTTTGACAACTGAAGAGTGAATTCCAAAATCAAAATAGGAGCAACATTCTACACACACACACACCTTCAAAATGAGGGGTGTTCAGGTTTTTTAAATGCAAAATTGAAAGAAATACGTCAAGTTGATATTGACCAAATTTTGACCGTATCACCCTTTAATAATATTTTTACACCAGAAATATTCAATAAAAAAAACCTTTTCATTGATTTACCACCACGAAGGTGAATTTTTTCAACCTTAAATTTACCCTCTTCTTTTAACCCTCCATGAACATCTTTGAAAAAAAAATTACACCAGAAATTTGTTTGACCAAAAAAGTTCATTGAAGTTTGTCCCTTCATGCACCTTTGTGGTGCAATTTTCAGGCACCATCTCAAAGGATTTGACGCAATAAAAGGTTTTCAGTGCCTTTATATTATGAAATGAAGTTATTTAACTTCACATCAAGTTATTAAGAAATCAAGTTATTTTATATTATAATTTTGTAAATGTGGAACTAAAAATCTTATTTATAAAAGAGCGGCAATTGCCCCACCTGGGCTACAAAATGGTGAGTGACAATCTGGAAGGAGCGATATACCTAGCTCCGGTCCTCACAAGTTCCTACCTCACGCCTCCACGAGTCATATGATCACAAAAGACTGCCAGGTGAAACATGGACACAGCTGGTTGGCGTAGCCTGGGCAATGTTGTCAATTCGACAATAGCAGAGTGAGGAGGTGCGACGCGAACACTGGCGCGGTAACCATAGCACCAACAATCAATACGAAACTAACGATTTTAAATTGGCTCACCACTTTAGTAGCCTATTGGTCCCAAGCAAACGATTAACGTACCCTATTCTAGTTGAAATTCTATTACTACACTATGTTTGTTTTGATTCGCTATGAAAGTTTGACAGATAACATCAGGGGTGTGTGGATTCATGCAGAACATGCAGGGGTGAGTGAAATAGCTTGGGACTGCTTGGGACCGTTGTTCTGGTACTGAGTGAGCCAAAAATAATAATGATTTTCTTCGGGACCCAGTGGTCTTAGAGTTACCTCTATGATAGCACGGTGATAGAGGAAATGCTTCGCCAACCCGAGCGTCTGTTCACCATGGAGGTGCGGCTCAAACAGCGTCTGACTGGCATCCAGCGGCTGAATAAGAAATGCTCTTCCCCGGAAGCTACACCTAAGATGGCAGCCCCATCACGGCGGATAGGAGACCTTAGGCCAACCACCTACTGTCTCTGAAACCTTTACAATTGTTACAGAAACCAACAGAGAAAGACATCGAACTGATATAACGGCGACGACTTTTAGCTCAAAACAACGGACACGAATTGGATCATGGAATGTATTGACGTTAGCCCAGCAGGGTAAACTGGCACAACTCACCAACGAGGCGCGACGCATGAAGCTAGAAATCCTGGGACTGAGTGAAGTTCGGTGGCCAAACTTTGGAGAACACAAACTGCCGTCGGGACAGGTACTACTATACTCTGGTATTCGAGGTGAAAACGCTCCCCGTCATCGTGGAGTTGGTCTCCTACTTAGCGTCCAGGCAAGTGCTGCGCTCATCAAGTGGGAGCCTGTTAATGAGAGGATAATCGTTGCCAGATTTAGAACACGGGTTCGTAACCTTACCATAATCCAATGTTATGCGCCAACCGATGCTTCCGAGCTACAGTACAAGGAAAATTTTTACAGTCAACTGAATGCCGTCGTGGATAAGGTTCCAAAGGGTGACATCAAGATCTACACTGGCGACTTCAATGCGAAGATCGGCTCCGACAACACGGACTATGAGCGTGTCATGGGACGCCATGGTCTCGGCGAAATGAGCGAGAACGGTGAGCTGTTTGCAGAATTTTGTGGCAATAACGACATGGTGATCGGGGGCTCGCTCTTCCCCCATCGGCCAGTGCACAAAGTCACGTGGGTTTCCCGTGATGGACATACCGAGAATCAGATCGACCACATCTGCATCAGCCGAAAATGGAGACGGAGCCTTCTTGATGTCCGGAATAAACGCAGGCCGACATCGCGTCTGACCATCACCTTCTAATCGGTGAAATCCGCCTACGCATGGCGACGGGAGGAGAGACTCGGGCGGCGGTTCAACACACGCCGACTTGAAGATCCAGCGGTAAAAAGGTCTTTTGTTCAAGAACTTGAGCCTCGAGCTGCGGACGTTCCAGAAGGTGGCAGCGTAGAAGAACAATGGACGGCCATCAAGAATGCCTTTATAGAAACAAGCGAGAACAACTTGGGTGAGCTGCGCACCCAGAGGAAAGAGTGGATCACAGATGAAACCTGGCGGAAGATTGAGGAGCGTAGAGAAGCAAAAGCCGCGATAGAGCGGGCGAGAACCAGAGGAGCCAAGAACGAAGCCCGTCAACGGTACTCGGCTCTAGAGAAGGAAGTCAAGCGCTCTTGCAGATGGGACAAGCGAGCGTGGGTGAACTCCCTGGCCGACGAAGGGGAGAAAGCTGCAAACACTGGCGATATACGCCTCCTCTACGATATCTCACGACGCCTGAGTGGAGCAAGGATGAACCCGAGGATGCCAGTGAAGGACACGACTGGACAATTGCTTACCGACCCCACTGACCAGCTGAAACGCTGGTTTGAGCACTTCGAACAACTTCTTCAAGTTCCGACAGCCAACCAGCCATCAACATCTCGGCATGATCCGCCTAGGGTGCGGTGCATCACTCGCGTCACTGCAGGAGATTGAAGCAGCTATCCGAAGCATGAAATCCAACACGGCTCCAGGGGTCGATCGCATATCAGCAGAGATGCTCAAAGCTGACCCCATTCTATCCGCACAAATGTTGCATCAACTATTCTGTAATATCTGGGACACCGCGACTTTTCCGGCCGACTGGATGCAGGGCATCTTAGTGAAGGTCCCAAAGAAGGGGGATCTGACTGTGTGCGACAATTGGCGAGGCATCATGTTACTGTGTATTGTTCTCAAAGTTCTGTGCAAAGTTATCCTGAATCGGATACAGGAGAAGATCGACGCGACTCTCCGACGGCAGCAGGCAGGATTCCGTGCCGGAAGATCTTGTGTGGACCATATTGTCACGCTCCGCATAATCCTGGAGCAGGTCAATGAATTCCAAGAGTCCCTTTATTTGGTATTCATTGACTACGAAAAAGCTTTCGACCGTCTCAATCACGAGAATCTGTGGGGCGCCCTGAGACGCAAGGGAGTCCCGGATAAAATCGTCAACTTCATCGAAGCGCAGTATGATGCTTTCACGTGCAGAGTTCTGCATAACGGAGCCTTGTTCGACCCTATCCGGGTAGTCGCTGGTGTGAGACAAGGATGTATACTATCACCGCTACTGTTTCTCATCGTAATCGACGAGAACATGGTAGGTGCAATTGACCGTGTACCGAACCGTGGGCTGCTTTGGCAGCCTATCACCATGGAGCATCTCAACGACTTCGATTTGGCTGATGATGTTGCTCTACTAGCACAACGGCGCTCTGATATGCAGAGTAAGCTCAAAGGCCTAGCCGAACGCTCCTCTGCGGCGGGTCTCACCATCAACGTCAACAAGACCAAATCGTTGGATATCAACACGGGCAACCCTTCCAACTTTACGGTAGCGGGGCAAGCAGTGGAGAAGGTCGAAAGTTTCCAATATCTTGGCAGCCAAATAGCGTCGGACGGCGGGACCAAGAGCGACATAGGTGCACGAATCAAGAAGGCTAGGGCTGCCTTTGCGAGTTTACGAAACGTATGGAGATCCAACCAGATAAGTCAACGCACCAAAATCCGAATTTTCAACTCGAACGTGAAATCTGTGTTGTTATACGCCAGCGAGACGTGGTGTGTATCAGCGGAGAACACTCAAAAGCTGCAGGTCTTCATCAACCGATGCCTGCGGTATATAATTCGTGCCTGGTGGCCTCACAACTGGATCTCAAATGCCGAGCTCCATCGTCGATGTCATCAGAAGCCGATAGCAACAGAAATTCGAGAGTGAAAGTGGAGGTGGGTCGGCCACACACTTCGACGGGGCGGAAACGAAATCTGCAAGCAAGCGCTGGATTGGAATCCAGCAGAACATCGCAGCAGAGGCAGACCCAGGGGCTCATGGCGGCGGAGCCTCAATAAGGAAATTAAGCAAGTCGATAGAAATCTGACCTGGGCCCAGGTCAAGGCAAACGCGAGCAGCCGCCCAGGATGGAAGTCTTTCACGTTGGCCCTGTGCACCGCTGGTGGTGCACAGGACCCTTAAGTAAGTAAGTAATTGCCCCACCTTGCCCCACCCTGTGCACGCCAGTGGTCTTCAAATATTAATATCTCATGTAGTTGGATCGATACATATTAAGTTACGGCGCAAAAAACGCAATATTTGAGGTTAAAACTGTGAAAATAACTTTTTTTAAATGGAGTAAATTATCTTTAAAAAAAACTCAAATTTTGTAGTAGTGGAATAAAATGGTAATTTCTCCTAATCCTTATAAAAATGTGTAGACCTTCCCGTGATGGTGTCATCGAATGATACTGCTTGAACAACTGTTATGCAAGACGTCCACCAACGAAGCAATAATATTGCACGCATGATGCAGGGAGAAAGAAACGACAAAACATCAGCGCTAAATGTATGTAGGTACATTTATTCCTACTGCACACCATTGCAGTAAACGCAGTCACAGAGCTGAAGGTGGACCACCGCCAGTGGACTCCAGCCTAAGTATCTGCCAATAACTACCAACCAATGAACCAACCACCCGTTGACGGACGACCGATGGCGGCGCGTACTGAGAGCCGGCAGAACCTCATAAGTCAATGAGTATAAATTATAAATTTAAACATGTAATCGATACACACAATCAATCCGGGGCTTCTACGTGCTACTTATCGAGACGAGCGACAACGATTGGTCGTTCGTTGGTTCGAACGAATAAAGCCGGCTTTTAAGTAGTTCGGTTTTTATTTGTATTATGTTCTCCTTCTCGATGCCATATCAGAGGCATTGCTGTTGTTTTGCATTAAATGGGATTTTGTGCCTACGGCCAGAAGTTTGATTGCCGTTGCTGTTATTGTGTAGTTACTATTTCCTACGGTGATTGTTGAGTAATTTACGTTTCCGAGTCAATTCTAATAATTATTCTCATCGATGGCACCTCTCAGTTGGAGTAGTTGCCACGGTTACTGCGATTCAAAGGTGAGAATTCCTTTTAAAACTCTTTGATGACCGTGAACATTTTGTTCGCATAGGTACTTACGAATAAATGACAGACGCATGACATCACGTCATCACACTGCCAGGTACAATGGAAAGTACAAGTTTCCGTCGCATTCGTCGCGTGTCTCAACCGATTTTAAGGCTTTAAGGAGCTTTGCATTGTTCGACGAGTGGTGTGGTTACATCGAGCCACAGGTAATCCCCCGCTTTCTGTACGGAAAGAAGGTTGCTGATTGCAGTCAGGAGTTACATTGGGAAATAAATAAATCATTAAAAGAAAAGAAAATAAGCACTCGCTGCATGGGCGACATTTGGTCGTAAAAACCCTGACCCAGGACACAACAATTTACGTTTTACCCCCGCTTCGTTTGGCATGGCATGGCCTTCTTTTTGCGGCACGCAATGATCGTTTATTATTTACCGATTTCTGGGCAGTTCAGTTTGACATTATTTTTTTTTTTCAATGTTTATATGACATTAATTTTGGTTTTTCAACGGTTTTCGAAGCCAACTGCACCCGTCAGCTCGAAAGCAGTGCAGACATAATTTTCAGTTTTGACGTGAAACATTGCTTGCGGCTGTACATTTTTCTTTATCGATCGTCCCATTCAGTTTGAAATATGACAGGCCCGTCATCTTACATTGCAAATTCCTCTGGTGTCGCGCTACCTTGCCATGCACACGGGGGGATTCAATTCGAGGAGCTGCACCGTAAAATTGCATCGACTACTACGACCTGACTCAATTATACAAGTCAGCACATATTTTATTGTGCATAAAAGCCAAAGGAGGTGCAAGATTGATGGGAACCGGTACCCTTGCCGAGAGATACATTGTTGCTAATCGTTTCGGCGCAAGTAGCCATCCAATCCCTGCATTATGGATGGATGGCGGAAATCGTAACGGACAACATGATCAAGCGATTCGAGCCCTACACATTCCTTGACCCCATTAGCAGCGATCATTACCGTGTGAGGCTTAAAAGTATCCGCTTGCATTTGCCATGCGAAGGTGGCGCCCCCGCCGTCCCTTGCATATCCCCACTGCCATTACGCGTTGGCTGTCATCGGGTCAAACACAAACACGTGTGCTTAACTTTTCCGGCTTTTCATCCACTTTATCTGTTTGATGATTAATGACTTTTTTTTCCTTTTTCCCTTTTTCAGATGTTGCACACGATTGGAGTGCTGAAATTGATCCTAATCCAGCACATGATTGGCGTTTCGTCCATGATGAACATCGGCAGTGGTGGGGCAGGGCTGGGCCCGGTAGCCAATCGGAGACACACTGACAACCTGCTGATTGCTCGGTGTCGTTCCAAATGTACGAACACATTCGACAAAATGATGGTACTTTTTCCTCACACACTCCATTGACGCAATGATTGATGTTTCTGTTACTTATTGCTCGGTTGATTTGAGTTTTATGTAGTTTAGCCTGTTTCCGAACGTTGGCAGTTTGATGGGGACCATGTTCTCGTTTCAGGGAATTCCTGTAACGTGATATCAGTAGCTATAACGTTTCTATAGAATACGAGATTAACATTTAATTTTAAGCTGAATCGCTGTGGAAACCTTATTTCTGATTGATTTTACTCTCAGCTTGAAATTTACTTAGCACAAATATCAGTTCCCACAAAACATACGACAGTGAAACTGGAACTGCACGTTCGCTGCAGTGCACAAAACGGGGAGTTCCAATTTAATGAGCGATGTTGCTACAGTGTCCGAGGTTTGTGCTCTGGAAAACTTGAGGTGATAGAGCGCATAGAGCATAACCGTCGTCATTTTTGGAATCTTCATGGAACCACCTTGTTGAGGGTTCTTCTACTACGCAGTGAAAAAAGTCTCGATTACTTTTTAGAAGGGATGTGTCAGGGGATAGGGGAAATTTTACCCTACCTTATGCCTGGGCGAGCTACCAGTTATGCCAAATCGACGATCAAATGCATTGTTTACAAAAAGTAATCGAGAAGTAATTCTAGTAACGAGAACAGTTTATTAAATAGGTCTATTCAGTTTGATGGCTTGACAGGGAATGAATAAAATTATAATTCCAACATCTTCATAGGCTACTATGATAGCTGATTTCATCCAATGATTCCTTTCTTATGTCGTTTTCGTTTTTGCGGTGTAGCTACACCGGTGCTACACTGCCGTACACCGAAATATTTTAGGGTGTAGATATAGGATGCACCTTTATTTACAAACAAATGATGTTGAGCTGTCAAAGACTCGCGCTTATTCCTGCTTACACTACACCGGTGCTACACCGCAAAAACGAAAACGACATTACTCAACACTCCCTCTCAATCAATGAAGTCAATTCTTGCTCTAAGATCCTGGAAACGATTCTTGTCTAACGCTTTGGTGAATAAATCAGCTTCTTGGTCAATTGTGGAAATCGGCTTTATCTCTGCCACGTGATCTCTAATGAAATGATGTCGGACATCAATGTGTGTTAATGGCTAGCCAGATGGGCTACCCAGACAACCAGAAGTCGTATAACAATGTGCAGACAGTATCGTACATTGCTACAGTTGAAGTTAAAAAATAAGAACGGCATGCATCGCATTATGTTTAAGTTAAATCGTATAGAATGCAAATTTCCGACCAATATGCGATGATTCATTTTTTCGTCGTACTGTATCACAAATCAAATCGGATTACATCGTATGACTTTTCCAAGTGAATTTGTTATTACAGATTAAATCGTATATGATGTTAAATCAACCCGTTTAAAATTAAATAAAAAATTGCATGTATATGGCCTCCACTTTTGTACGTATAAACCATTTCTTTGCATTCTATACGATTTGTTTGTTTGTATATATGTTTGTATATCACGAAAACAACTTTGAATATACGTGCATTCTGGTTGTCTGGGTAGTATAAATGTATTCCCCAAGGGGTTGGTCACTCTACACAGTGTGCCAAAATCAAACTTGGGCACACCTGGGCGTCGTGATTGACGCTGTTTGGCACTCATGATTACAATTTTTATGATCTTTAAAGTTACAGGCAACACTGAACTTTTTCTGCGCTTACGCAGTGTGAATGTGTCAAAATTTGTTATTGATGTTGCCACAATATAATCAAATTATTTTCAAAACAACCGTGAATCTCCACCAAGTCTCGCCATGGATTCTCAAAATCGCTACACCCGTGACGGCAGTCGCATCCACATTTTCTCCCCGACGAAGAACAGCTGACAGCGGTATCTTGACCTGACCGAGGTTTCCGGCCATAGCTATACGAACTAGCGATGCAGCTCCCACGGCTGCAGCTGCTTCCAATGCTGCTGCGGGTCCGTCTTTTTTTTTATGAATTTTAGAGGAGACGGACCAGCAGAAGGAACAGCAGCAGCAGCATTGGAAGCAGCCGAAGCCGTGGGAGCTGCATCGCTAATTCGTGTAGCCGTGGCCGACGCTGGAAATCTCGGCTGGATCACGACAAGCAGTGCTTGAGTTTTAATTGGAAAGTCAACAACCAAACAAAAACTATACCATCCGACCATTCGAACTGCTCGAATACATCCATGGCGGTGACTGCTACACCAACCGTTTCGTCGTCCAACATTTAAAATTGAAGGACCATCTTGGTAAAATCTCAAATAGTTTAACAGATTATTTGTACTCTCCTGACTTTTTGAACTTCCTACTAACACAATAAGAAATTATAATTACGAATCATAACATTAACTACACAAAAAAGGAAAATCATTTCTTTTCTCAGAAAAAGAAAGCTAACGTGTTTTCGATGTTCCACGCACCGATCATCTTCTTGGAGGAAGAGATGCACAGCTTCATAATGAACGGAAATTTTGTGCATTTGTGATCGACCGCACTGTGGTTGCACTCATGATGGCGTTCACCGCTCGGGAACTCGACCGGAGGAGTAAATATCCTATTTCAGCGGGAACATTCGCACTTGCAAAGGGTGGCAGTCCTTGGTGGTGAATGCAGTCAGCAGCAGATCCTCGGACGGCATACGGGTCCTGGTGGCCTGGGAAGTGATTGTCCGGCAGGGTGTACGTTCGATTGCGATGGCGTCTTCCATCTAGACTATGGCGGTACCCTCTTTGGTCTTCAGGAACTTTATTCTGACATTTCCATACAGGCAGAACAGATAGAACAGCTTAACGGTGTTGGCTGTGTTGTTATCGAGTCCGTAGACCATCATCACTTCGCCCTGTGTCTGTGCCGGTTGTATGAAGTTGGCTGGTCTGTTTTGGGTCAGCGGTGCGTCCTTCATGAGTCCGACGTGTGTTCCGGCCGGTGTTGGTTTCCAGTTTTCCGACGGATGATACTCGGGCGGTGCCAAATTCGGTGCAAATCCGTTTCCTGCGCCGGCTCCCAGAAGGGCTGGTTGACTAATGATTGACGTTCGTTGAGCGGGGTCGGCCTTGCACCGAAGATGCATGATTTTGAAAACATTGGAAATCAAACAAAAACAAGAGCTGTTAAAATACCGGGTTGCCAAACAAGGCATTATTCACAAGCAAACAAAAGTCAGTTCGATGAATTCTTGGCACTGCCGATACAGCTGCGGCACACTGAGGATCACTGAGAAAAATGTTGGCGCAAAATAAGTGTGTAGAGTGACCACCCCTTGGTATTCCCCTAACCTCTGGTCTAGCCACGGAGATCGTCTGAGGTGGGCTACACTCGCCTCTTTTGTTGGCTAGCTCGAGCTTGAAACCCTGGAGCTTCAAGGTCGGCTCCTGACTTGTCGACACTGATCCGAAGTAGAAAACACCTCTTTATCACTTTTCACTCGTTTATTGTCTCACTCACTTACTACTTACGGTTTCGGTATCTGTAGTGTGTGTGTGTGTGTAGTGCTGGCCAGCGATGACGGGATTCTGCAGTTGGTGGGGTTTTTCGGCGGCGGATGAACGGACTGTTCACAGTGGATGCCGGTGTGGCACGATGGATGTGGCACTGGGGCTCGATCGGGTGATCGACGGTGGTCTCTCAGTGGTCGTCGGTGTTTTACCGATGGACGCTTGCTACACGGGTGTTGGCGTGTTAACGGATGCCCTCGTGGTGTAGCCCGTAATTAATGGGTCCTGAAGGGAATATGAGAGGTGGTCTTAGGGCTGGGAATTCCGCTACCGGGTTATTGATTGGGTCCTACCTGACTCCGTATTCAGTGGTATTAGCCGGTATTTGTTGGTAACTCTTCACTATTTTTTCAAAACGTAAAGCAAACTTGACAGATCGAACTATCTCGCGCAATGGCTGAAGTGAAAGAGAACTTTCTCTTCAGTTTGACTCAGTAGCTTCCCCCTTCACCTAAGCCCATTTCCACCTCCCTCCCACTTTTCCGACACCCCTTGTCCATATCCTTCTCCTGTTTCCAACGCCCACCTTCATCCTTACTCCTTCCCGTTATGTGTTGTTGGTGTGACTGGGTTACAATTTTTAATTGGACCGTTGGTTTGGGAGTACATATTTACTTACATTCAAAACAAGACAATATTGCATACAAGAAACTGACATACAGATTGAATTCACAATGAATACACATATACCCTCGCTCTCGCTATCTCCTGATTTTTCTCGCTCGAAGTGAACCAATAGGGTACAGGAACCAAAACGGTAACATGTGTTTTACCCTCTTCGATTCAGCATTCTTTGCCATCCCGATGCAGCCACTGTTATCTTCCGATATTGGCACTGGATCGCTCTTCTCCATCTGCTCCAGGTCCTCCGGAACACCACTCAGCCAGATTGCTATTGAAATCGCTGCACTTAAGGTGAAATTTAATGCTTTTCCGTTGATACTGAATCCACACCCGTTTAAACCACACCCAAATTCGAAATGCACTACCACATACCACAAGCGTTGCAAATTCGAAAAATGGGAAGTATTGAAATTTGGAACATATTCGTTAACACAATATTATAACAAGTGTAAGTGTTGCGTCCAAGATTGGTGAGATTAATCGCGTGTAGTTTTCGTATATTTAGTTATTAAATTCCAAGAAAAAGTTTAAATGTTCGTAATAGGTAAAACATCCCAGAATCCCCACGAACGCAGCCAGTAGCAGACACTTCCCTATAAATTGTAGAACACTGCCACTAGCCACCATCAGAGCACGCTGTGTGCAGTCATGAATGGACGTCCATAGGGGTGGCGTAGTGGGGGCCATTGCGTGGAGAATTCGTGGCACGTACGACGGTTCAACGGTCACGGTTCGGGGTCATCGTTCACCAAGAGGCACAAGGATAAGCCTGGTGATCATTAAAGACAACGGACATAGCGAAAGTCATAGCTAAAAATCAATAGTTTGATTGTGAAAACTAAAGTGAGCTAAATTTAAAGTTTAAAGGAGTTGCAGAGGA